CATCATTTGGGTGTGGAGAGGGACCTTCAGCATGGATTGGAGCCATAGGACAAGGGGTGATGGGTTCCCACTGGAACGAGGGACTATGGGTTGGAGATCAGGAGAAACTGTTCCCTATGAGGGTGGTGGGACACTGGGATGGGTTGGATGGAGAAGGCTTGGAGCAACCTGGTCTAATGGAAGGCATCCCTGCCCCTTGCTTAGAACTGGATGCTTTAAGCTCCTTCCCAACCTAACCCATTCCATGAATCCATGCTCATGACATGGTTTAGTGGTGGAATCTCAATGCTCTTAAAGCTCCAACCTCTATGGTCCCTGCGCAGGGATGATGGAGCAGGAGCTGGATGCGCTTCCAAAGCTGGGATAAAGGGGGATGCAGAGCAAGGCCCTGCAGATGGGAGAGGAGAAGGGAGCCCCAGTGGCACATCCCTACCTGGCAGGTGTCGATGCCACCCTGCGGGTACCCAGCACACAGGTTGTGGCTCTTGATGGCCCCTCGGTACCATAGGCTGCTATTGCAGAGCTTGGCATCGATGAGGCGGACCTTGGCCTCCTGCAGGGCAGATGGGGACGATGCCCCCGCTGTGGGGACACAAAGGGGGTCAGGACTGCGGGGAGAAGGGACGGATATAGGGGTATTTGGGGCTGAAAAGATCAATGGGAGCCATCAACACTGCCCCATGGCACGGGCTGCATCCCCTTTGTTCTGCATCCTCAACATAAGGAGGACATGGAGGGACCTTCAGCGATGGGACAAGGGGTGATGGGTTCCAACTGGACCAGGGATGCTCAAGTTGGAGAGAAGGAAGTGGTGGGAGACTTCCCTCGCGCCCCATCCGCTGATGAAGCACTCGGAGAGCTGGGATACCCTGAGCGTCGCATCGGGCAGGCAGGCGAGCTGCACGTGGTACCCGCACTGCACCGGCTGGTCCAGCTCCACCAAGGCAATGTCGAAGCCGCCGGAGACGTTGGTGTAATATTCATGGACCACGACCCTCTGGATCCAACGTTTCTGGGTCTCGGAATTGGCCCAAGCCAGGTCCGTGATTCCGACCATCACGAACCAATCCGTGGTGAAGCTGGGAGGGAGCGGAAGAGCAGGGATTGGAGCCATAGGACAAGGGGTGATGGGTTCTGACTGGGAATTGCAGGTTGGAGATAAGGAAGGGATTCCCTATGAGGGCGCTGGGGCACTGGGATGGGATGGATGGAGAAGGTTTGGATGCTCCATCCCTGGTAGTGCTCAAGGCCAGCTTGGAGCAAGCTGCTCTATGGAAGGCATCCCTGCCCATGGCAAGGGCTTGGAACTGGATGATCCCAAGCTCCTTTCCCACCCAACCCATTCCATGATCCATTCCATTCCATCCCATCCCATCCCATTCTATGGAGGGGTGGGAAGGAGCCACATTCCTGCTGCTGCCCAAAGGAAAGCACTGCCCCAGCACGCCTTAGGCTCAAGGGCTGTCAAGCTGGAAGCAGCCTTCTCCTGAGCGCTCTTCCCAGTGCATCCAGGATGGGGAAGGGGACGGGATGGGAGCTGCTCCTTGGCTATTCCCTATGGCTGGAATCCCTTCTCCCCCTTACTTTTGCCCGACGAAGCAGTGAGCGGCCGTGAGGACCCATTGCGGGGTGATGAGGGACCCCCCGCAGATGTGCGAGAAGCCGGTGGCCGTGGGGAACTGGATGCTGACCACCCATGGCCAGGCGCCCTGGTGCGCATCCACGCCTCCGACGATGCGCGACACCCCATAGGAATCAGCCATGGGACGGGTACCGCAGGTCCCTCTGGAAGCAGAAGCCCAACACTGGATGGTTAGGGATGAAGGGCGGGCATCATCCTGCCCCACTGGGTGATGCAGGGACAAGGGACCCTATGGGGTGTCCCATAGGTGAGCATCATCCCACCCCATAGGGTGCTGCAGGGACAAGGAACCCTATGGGGTGCCCCATAGCTGCGCTGTGCCACCGCATGGGGTGATGGCGAGGAAGCGGGGCTCTCCCAGTCCCACCACCCCACTGGTGTGACCATGGCTGGGAGCAGCAGCATCTCCCTATGGAATACCAGGAGCCCCGGAGCCTGGTGCCACTCACCCACAGCTGTCCCAGGAGCCACGCACCAGACAGGCCAATGCCAGCAGGATGAAGACACGGAGCAAAGCCATCACTGCCATCACCGCTGAGGGTGACCCCAAGGTGCCACCAAGGTGCTGCCACCACCACTGAGGGTGACACCAAGATGATGCCACCAAGGAGCTGCCACCAAGGAGCTGCAACCAAGGAGCTGCAACCAAGGAGCTGCTACCAAGGAGCTGCAACCGAGGAGCTGCCACCAAGGAGCTGTGACCAATAAGGAGCTGCAACCAAGGAGCTGCCACCAAGGAGCTGCGACCAAGGAGCTGCAACCAAGGAGCTGCAACCAAGGAGCTGCCACCAAGGAGCTGCTACCACCACTGCACCCAAAGCGCAACTGCCCCAGGGATACGGGTGCTGGATACAGGTCCCTTGGTGCTGCGGCTGATGTCATAGAGAGGCAGGTTTCATGGCGGGGGGGGGCGGGGGGGTTCCATGGGGGGTTCCATGGGGAGATGGAGGGGGTCTGATGGGCTTGGGATGATCTGAATCCCTATTGGATGCTCTGGAGCTCTGTGGGATGCAAAAAATGGAAGCAAATGGGGGGCACCCAAAGATGGATGGGGGGCACCCAAAGATGGATGGGGGCACGCCAAAGGGCAATGGAAGCAGATGGGGGCACCCAAAGGCTCAAACAAGCACATGGGAGCCCGCCAAAAGGACCAGGAAGGTGCCCAAGGAACCACAAGGATGAGGGATGCAGGGGGCAGAAGCAGCACCCCCAGGGAGCAAGGTCCCTGGTGAGGATTTATCCCACATTGATCCCAAAACCACCGCTGTTTGCCCCTCAAAAGCACCCAAAATCCTGGGATTTGGTGGGCAAGGAGTGGTGAAGGGGTTGTCCTTATATCCCAGAGTCTGGAAGCGGGATCTGGCAGCAGGAGCCTCCGCGCAGGCCCGGATCCAAGGACATGGCTGCTGCCCCAGAAGCAGCTTCCCAGCTTCTGCTTTGGGCCAAAAAGAGGTGGAATGGGGCCCAGGTTGTTGTTAAAAGCCACTTGGGGGGGCGGGGGGGGAGTTCAAATGGTGCCAAATCCAGGGAATTTGCCCGGGAGGGGGAGGATGGGGAAAAGAAGGGATTGGAAAGGGATTGGTGCAGAAGGAATGGGGTTTGTGTGGTATTCCTGGAAGTGGGCATGGTTGGATGGGGCTTGGAGCATCCCGCTCCATGGAAGGTGTCCTTGCCTATGGCAGGAGTTGGAGCTGGATGAGCTTTAAGGTGCCTTCAACCCAACCCATTCCATGATTCCATGACTCCATGATCCCACACCTCTGTGCTGCAGTGTGGATGTTCCCTGGTGTAGGGATCTTAGGAAGGAGCTGGTGGCACAAGGGAGCTCCAGAGCATGCCACAAGCAGAGCATCCCATAGGGATTCACAGCATCCCATAGGGATTCAGAGCATCTCACAAGCAGAGCATCCCATAGGCGTTCAGATCATTTCACAAGCAGAGCATCCCATAGGGATTCACAGCATCCCACAAGCAGAGCATCCCACAGGTGTTCAGAGCATCCCACAAGCAGGGCATCTATCTTGGGTTCAGCAGGAGCAGTCATTTTTTCTCCCTCTTGGTACCTGGTGCAGCGCTGAGTTTTTGACTTTCAGCCTGGGAACAGCGCTGATAACACCGATGCTTTTAGTTGCTGCTCAAACGTTCAGTCTGACCAAGGACTTTGCGAGCCTCATGCTCTGCCATGGAGGGAGGAGGAAGGGAAGCCGGGAGGAAGCAGAGACAGGACACCTGACCCAAACCAGCCAAAGAGGTATTCCATAGCACAGCACGTCATGCCCGGGAGGTAACAGGGAGTTACCCAGAAGGGCACTCACTGCTCGGTCGGCGGGTGGTATTGTATTCTCTTCCCTTGTTATTTCCCTTATCGTTATTATTATTGGTGTAGCAGCAGTGGTTTGTGTTACACCTTAGTTACTGGGCTGTTCTTATCTCAACCCGGGGGAGGTACATTCTTTCGATTCTCCTCCCCATCCCTCCGGGAGCGGGGGGAAGGGAAGAAGTGGGGGGGGGGGGGGGGGGGGGGGGGGGAGGTGAGCGAGCGAGACTGCGTGGCTGACTGGGTTTTAAACCACGACAAAAGTTGAGATTGCGATTGCATGGGAACCTAGATACTCCTCTACCACACAACAGCAACATTTCACAGAGTAAACGTAGGCAAGAAGCTAACTCCACACAGAAAAATTACCTTAAGCAACCAAATTGCTGTCATCCATCAGGTCCCGCTTTGTTCCTCATCTGCACAGAGCTGTTTCAGGTCTCGGTTTCCTCCTGATTTGTTAGGCTAGTCGGCCACAGCACATTTTTTTAGCATTAATGCATACCTTGAACACAATACCTGTTGAAATAAAAGCCACTAATTGTCCTATTTTATAAGAGACAGCTGAATATTGTTTTCAGAAACCTTAAAGAATCTTCAGCTTACCTAAAAATTGTGGTTTACTTTAATACGTATCTGAATAATAAGCTTGTACCTTAAAGCAGAATCCATGGTTTGTTGGTGCTCCAGAAATCTTTTTGCCTGTCAAAGACATGTACGTATCACTAAGGCTGAATTCACAGAAAAACTGCAGATGCCTTGGCTCCTAAAAAGAAGAGCAATGTACTATAGTTAGACTATTTTTAGCCAGCCCCTCCAGAGAAGAAACTCAGGAGATGTAGTAGTTATCCTGGTCCAAAATAGTCTTAACATACTGTACGTTTGACATTGTGAAATCTAGAAAGAGACAACTCAGCATCAATTTCATAATGCAGAGAAAAACCACATCAAACTAGTCAAAGAGTTCATTCTGCCAGAGAGGGAGAAAAACCAAAGTACAAGTGATGACACTTCTGGGAAAGCATCCGCTAAATTCAAGCCACAATAATATTACAGGAGGAGTCACGTTTTGAGAGCTGTATGCATTTCAAACATCAAAATAAAAGGTACTTTCATAACCTGAAAACTGTCCACTACTCTTTCTAACCATTATCTCCATCCTCTAAGATGAACCAAGTTAAGGAAGAAAACAAAAGAGGTTTGCTGAAGGATACAAAAGCAGCTCAATGATTACTCTGGCAGTTAGCACAGAAAATTCAGAACAAGAAAAATCTTTAAGTGCTTTACGTAAAAGGTGTCTCAACTCCAGTGTCTCCTGTTTAACATTATCAGGTTTCAAGAACTGCCACCAAAAAGTTGAAGTAGTAAAATGGAAAACTGTACAGTGACAGAACGTGAGAACTCGCAAAATCTTCCTGTAAAATCCCTTTATACACAGGGGTTTTTTATTTTACATCATGAAGTAAGACAACCCCTTTTCAAAGCACCTACTTACACTTCAGCATTTTAACTACCAGCTGAAAATTGATTTTAAAAGAGTACGCTGTTAACTGACTGGAAAAATATTGATCAGAATGAAGCAAAGTTAGGCAAAAGGAAATTACTCTAAGACAATACTTCTCCAATTTTATATCGCTCTACATTTTACCTATAATAAATATTTTTTTCCTTTTTATCGTTGGAAGTTGAAATTCAATTTTTTCTTATTAGAACAGATTTTAAATACATACACCTTTGCTCTAACTTCGTTATGTTATTATGTTCTCCCTTTTTTATTTTCCCTTACCTCAGATGTACCTTTAGTGGAAAAATAAAGGCCAGATCTTCTCAAAAGAAAGTACAGTTCTGTCCGGGATTTTTCCCCCTGCTCCTTTGCATGCAAATAACTGTGAATCTCAGGAGATGTGCTGGAGCTTAGGAACATCTGAAAGAAAACATCAGATATGCGTTTTTCCTTCCACCTGAAACCAGCTTTCTATTTCACTAACATACTCAGACAGAACTAAGGGGAATAAACCCCTATATCCAGTATCACACCACAGGAATTCAATTATGATTGCATCTAATCCCATTAAGAGTACTTCTGACTTAAGATGTGCAGAATGTTACACAACTCCAAGGTATGCTAAGCAAGTTACATATTTATATAGAACGTATGGTTTGAAATGAGAGCATTAGTTATGCAATATGTTGACTTCAGCAACAAAAACAGTGTTAAGAAGTTCTGATCCCCTGCCTCAGACCCTACGTGTAGAAAACTGCAAATGAACGCTACCAACAGATGAAGAAGAAACAAAACAAAGCTACCTCTCCTTCCTCCTGTGGTACAAACCAGATAAAGGAACCGATCTGAGCTAAAATTAATTCAGCAAAGAACTCACAAAAACTGAATCACAAACCCATGCAGGTCAGGTAGATGTTACCATTTTCAAAAGGAGGAGACAAAGGAGCCACCTGAAGGGGTGCCTGAGCAGGAGCTTTAGGAGCCAAAAGCAGAAGCTGGGCCAATCATCGAGACAGCTGCTCAAGATATTCAATGGCTTTGCTTTAGCCATTTCAACCAGACATTGTCAGAGCGCAACACAACTGTTACCTAGCAAGACACTGTTATCTTAGCAAAGAGCAAGCACACAGTTCTACTCAGGCTGCAGAACAAAACTGCAGAAGTACCCATTAAAAGCTGGCAACCACATTAACTTTATGCTCATTCCATGAAATGCATTATTCATTTTTATTCCTCTTCTTCCAATAAAACTGCTCAGAACAATGACTCACATCTAAGCATACTAACCTAGAATCCTTCAGTTTCCATATACGCAAAGGAACCAATGTCATTACTAAGCTCTTAACGGAAAATTGCCCCAGGCTGGTCTGTACTATTATCAATTCTATCTAGACTTATACAGAGATAGGCAACAAAGGGTTTTCGGGTTGATAGCTGCAGTTTCCACTGCTGCATTTTCCTCCTGTCCACTGCCACTTCCAGAAAATCTGATTTGAGGACACAAAGCAAAAGTTGAGCAGGCAAGAGACAGAATGGACACTACAGGACTGCAGCAAAATAATGAAATGAATGTGATTTTGGAAGCACACCAAGTTCTTCAGACACTAAATAATGCAGTTCAACCAAGAAACACAAGGTTGCTTTCACTTGTATTGTTCTCCTGTCTTGCAGTCTAAATTCAGCTGGTGTGAATGCAGTAACATGGGCAGGCTTCACTTGACAGGGGAGCGTCCTAGCTCACAACAAAGAATGCATTATGCATAGCTTCACCGCTGTTCACCTGAACAGTTACATTACAGTAAGACTAGGTACATCTGTCTACAGCGCTGCTGGCACACAGCTGGGTGCAAATGCAGTTTAAGCTATTTCAGCCACACTGAAGCAGAAGGGGAGGTTCTGGTAGGTGTTCCAGCCTGTTCATCTCCCCATTTGCCACCAATGAACAGGTTCGTAGCAAATATAAAGGCTGAGTTGAAGAAGTATTTTAACTCCATAAACAACGTCAAATGGAAGCTTTAGGAAAATCTAAACGAGTCAATCTATGTAAAAAAGAACAGCATCTTTTTAGGTTTTAGTATCTCTGCTTAACACGAAAGGAGTGCTTGGCTCGCAGCCTGCACAAGTGCCTTTCCCAGGATTTCTGCCATAAGAGCTTCAAACCAGAAGTGCTGTCATGAAAAACGCTTTTCTTACTCAGCAGACCAAAGTGGAATACAAAATACAAAGCTCAGCTTCAACAGTCATCGTTGTGCCCATGCTATCAATTACAATAAAGTAGCAATAATGCTAGGAAAAACGCAATCCCAGATCCATCTTTTTCTTTCTAAGACAGCTGAGGACTGTGTGAGAAAGTACAACCTAAAGATAGGAGAAAAGATCACTTCTTCGGGATTGACGTTTACTAGTTTAACTTCAGCTTGCTCAGGTTGTACTTTCTCACACAGTCCTCAGCTGTCTTAGAAAGAAAAAGATTGTTTCTGGGATTGCGTTTTTCCTAGCATTATTGCTACTTTATTGTAATTGATAGCATGGGCACAACGATGACTGTTGAAGCTGAGCTTTGTATTTTGTATTCCACTTTGGTCTGCTGAGTAAGAAAAGCGTTTTTCATGACAGCACTTCTGGTTTGAAGCTCTTATGGCAGAAATCCTGGGAAAGGCACTTGTGCAGGCTGCGAGCCAAGCACTCCTTTCATGTTAAGCAGAGATACTAAAACCTAAAAAGATGCTGTTCTTTTTTACATAGATTGACTCGTTTAGATTTTCCTAAAGCTTCCATTTGACGTTGTTTATGGAGTTAAAATACTTCTTCAACTCAGCCTTTATATTTGCTACCAGTGAACCTGTTCATTGGTGGCAAATGGGGAGATGAGATTTTCCTACAGGCTGGAACACCTACCAGAACCTCCCCTTCTGCTTCAGTGTGGCTGAAATAGCTTAAACTGCATTTGCACCCAGCTGTGTGCCAGCAGCGCTGTAGACAGATGTACCTAGTCTTACTGTAATGTAACTGTTCAGGTGAACAGCGGTGAAGCTATGCATAATGCATTCTTTGTTGTGAGCTAGGACGCTCCCCTGTCAAGTGAAGCCTGCCCATGTTACTGCATTCACACCAGCTGAATTTAGACTGCAAGACAGGAGAACAATACAAGTGAAAGCAACCTTGTGTTTCTTGGTTGAACTGCATTATTTAGTGTCTAAAGAACTTGGTGTGCTTCCAAAATCACATTCATTTCATTATTTTGCTGCAGTCCTGTAGTGTCCATTCTGTCTCTTGCCTGGTCAACTTTTGCTTTGTGTCCTCAAATCAGATTTTCTGGAAGTGGCAGTGGACAGGAGGAAAATGCAGCAGTGGCAACTGCAGCTATCAACCCAAAAACCCTTTGTTGCCTATCTCTGTATAAGTCTAGATAGAATTGATAATACTACAGACCAGCCTGGGGCAATTTTCCTTTAAGAGCTTAGTAATGACATTGGTTCCTTTGCGTATATGGAAACTGAAGGATTCTAGGTTAGTATGCTTAGATGTGAGTCATTGTTCTGAGCAGTTTTATTGGAAGAAGAGGAATAAAAATGAATAATGCATTTCATGGAATGAGCATAAAGTTAATGTGGTTGCCAGCTTTTAATGGGTACTTCTGCAGTTTTGTTCTGCAGCCTGAGTAGAACTGTGTGCTTGCTCTTTGCTAAGATAACAGTGTCTTGCTAGGTAACAATTGTGTTGCGCTCTGACAATGTCTGGTTGAAATGGCTAAAGCAAAGCCATTGAATATCTTGAGCAGCTGTCTCGATGATTGGCCCAGCTTCTGCTTTTGGCTCCTAAAGCTCCTGCTCAGGCACCCCTTCAGGTGGCTCCTTTGTCTCCTCCTTTTGA